TCAGTTTCTCTTACAAGTAACAGTCATTCATGACCTTCACTCACCTAGTGAATTTAAAATTTCCATCAAGGATTCTGCCCTGGGCGTATCTTGGGTAGCCACACAGCGTCTCTGATAATTTCACTTACTTTAACTGTGGGTGGCCTGGGCTGGAGGCTCAAGGTGTGGCCCCGGTTACGTTCAGGAGTTGTATTTAGCTTTGCAAGGCTGTAGCCTTGCCTGTGCAGAGTCAACAGCAGGCTTCAATCTTTCAAACATTTACTTAGGTGCTTTACACCCAGGCCAGCCGAGTGACTCAGAGCATGAAACGAAGCACAGATGTAGATCTTAGCAGGAGTTGAGACTTTACCTTATGAACCAGGCCAGGCTGTGATGTACTCTGTTACCCTGGGTGAGCTGAATAAGTAGTGTTTGCCTCAGTTTGTCTATATGTAAAATAGAGATAGTTCAGCATTGGAAAGTTCTCAAGATCCTTGGCCGGGAGTTATGATTTAAAAATTAAATTTATCATTAAAAAGACATGCTGCTAAGGGGTAAATGGCAAGAAGAAAAAGTTAAAATACATATGGCATCCTATTTTCCATGAGTTGATATTTACATTATTTAGTTCAAATGAGGGGAATTACTTCCACTGGAGAAACTTCTCAGGAAAAGAGCCGAGTTAGGCTCCAATTAGTAAAAAGATCTATATTCGCACGCTATATATAGCTGCACTGCCTTCAAAACAGCACCGCGAACACCTGCCACTCCGCTGTTTGCTGCCTCCCTTTTCATCATCCTGTCTGTGAACAGCCTGGTTGCGGTGTTTCGTCCTCTCCGGTGTAACTGCCATGACTTTTAACCGTCGAGCACCTGCGCCAGCGTTGTGGAAGGTGGGCAATGCGGAACAGGGTGTGAGAGCAGCGGAACACACAGCAAAAGACACCAGCCAGCTTCACAAAGCCAGTGCTGGGAGGCAGATCTGCATCAGGTCTGCGAACTGATGAACAGCACTGCCTCACCTTGAAGCAAGGTAAAATCTGTTGCTGAATACTCTGGGGCGTTAAATTGACACTGGCACTAGTCCTGATCCTGATCTTACTGATTTCACTCCAGGCAGGACTGTACCCAAGCCTATGTATCTCAAAACACTGCAAAATCTATGACGTAAGTGGTAGTGTAAAATACTGACATTCTTTTTGAAAAGGGTATCTATGGCCTCTGTGCTTATTATATATTATGTCCTAAAATCTAGTAATTTAAAGCCCACGTTCGTTAATGCTTCAAGCCAAAGGCATCTCAATGACATAAATTTGCCTTAATTAATTCTAACGTTCTACAGTTTGCTCTATTATTTGCTGCCACTGTAGAGAGAAAGGGCCATATTCTCAATTATGTAAATAAACATTTATTAAAATCAAGATTCCCCCCCCCCAATACTTGTTATGGAGAACATCCCCTCTGCTTAGTCTTATTATTGTGCATATACTACCCATGTGAATCACGTGGTCATCAAGACATCTAGCATTTAGTAAGATGTCAGGAATATTTAAAATTGTAGCGGGTGGGATAAGAAGATGTATTAGCTGCAATTTTGTTGAAAAATTGTAAGCCTCCTGTCTTCAAAATATTTGGCAGAAATTTTCAACTTTAAAAAATGGAATTTGAAAATGTTATCCATTTAGTTACTGAAAAAAATGGCAAATTTTGAACGGAGACAGAATTTTCAACAAACTGCTTCAGGGAAAATATATGCTATTTATAAGGAAGTGTTTGTTTATTGCTGACATTTTAGAATAATCTAAATATCTCATAAAATTAAATAATTTTATCTCACTTAAAATACAAGCTACTGTTCTGGTATTCAGTAAGGTATGGTGCCAGTCTTTTCAATTCAGTTCGTTTTGTCATCTTACCAGCATATTAAATACTTTTTTGACTTGCATTTTAGTAGTCTTTAATCTAAACAATGAAAGCCAAAGCTGGCGATCCCCTCCGTTGCCATGCATATATTTCCTACTTGGAACAAAATGTGAAACGTAACTTCAGCTACGTGCCAAGCAACCAGGGCAAAGCCAGGTTTGCAGAAAGAGAGATTTTTTTTGTTGTTGTTTAAACTTGTAGGAGAAAAACATGCATGCTTTCAGGCACTCAGTCCTTTCTGAAACTCAGGAAAGTCACCAGCCTGAAATAGAAATAGCAACCTCGTATTGCTGTGGGTTCAGAGGGAGGTTGAAAATCCAATTTCATGTTCAGCTCGGTTGTGTAATTTCTTAAACCGTATTTTCCACAAGCAGTCACGGTCCTTTATTCCCAGTGTTTGCATTAACGCGATTAACTTTATTGTGAATAGGTTCAAAATGGTAAGGAATTGCCATGTTGTGGTGAAAGGATACAGGGTCAAGTAATACAGGACTGAATGGGCTGCTAAAAGCATTTTAAAAAGCAGTGCCCCAGTCCTGCAGCTCTTCACACGCACGCACCCGCCAGGCAGCAGGCTCCGAGGAGCGAAGGGTATCCCTCCGAGCCTCGCTGCGCGTGCGAGCCAGGAATAACTGGCGCTGCAGCGAAAGGCAATTTTAGCTCGGTGTTCAAGGAGAACGGGATTAGTCACTAACCCGTGGCCTTTCCGGATTGAACCGACTTTATTTAATGAAAATGCAAATCATCCATTACAAATGCATGTGTGTTGCGGTGTGAAAGGGAATTTACCGTGAAATTAGTTTCTGATAGGGAGAAAACCAGATGCAATTTTTCCCAATAGTGTTTCTTACAGTCCTTATAGGCATGGCTTTCCATTGCCTGCAGCGGGAGCTGCAGAAGCCGGGAGTGAGTGCTGAAGGGATTGATCCATAAGGTTTCCCTGACATTTGGTAGCCTCACATCAGTTAGTTCTTGTTGAGTATATTCTGAACCACCCACAGTATTTTATGATGATAATCCTCAGGGGGTATTTTCTCATCATTGGTCACAGTTTACAAATGGTTTCCCCCTCCTGGATCTCTGGAAACTGTCTGATTCTCCCTCTAAAATACTTGCAACTACAATCTGCTTATTTCTCTTGGTTGTGACCAGAAAATGTATTGCATTTATTGTCTTGCAATATGGAAAATTTGACGCAAGTACAACAGAGAGACTTTAACCAAATCTGGAGATGGGCTTGATCCTATCTCCGTGCTGTGCTTCCTACCTGAACAAGTGATTAAAATTTATGATGTAACGTACTGGATCAAAATTATAATATATTGTACTATATACAAATTACTTAGGAAACCTGCAGCTACCACCCTTTCATGAATAATTCTTCATTAAATAAGATAGTTTTGACTTGAAAAAAGCAAATGATGAGTGACAACTATTCATACAATTAGTCAGGCAAGGTGTTGGTCTGGTGTTCAGCCAGCGTCAGAATTTGGGATGGGCCCAGTGTTTGTACTTAGCACCGATACGGTCTTTATCTGTGGCTATGATATACCGCAGGAGGGTGAGCAGTTCTGTCTTACGTTAAATTGCTATTTCTTACATACTGGCTATTGCCATTCAATGCCAAATATGTTACATACTGTACATTCTGCAAATTACAGACAGTCTAATTCTCCTATAATTGATAAACCAAATAGAGGCTATAACTCTATCAGCAATGGCAAACCTGATAACATAATGTTATTAGGAAATTGGTGAACGTGACAAGAATATCATCAGTGTGGACTGTGACACTCTTCTAAGTCAAATCTCTTTACATCAACTCTCACGTGTAATACCAGGCAGGAGGATTGAACTTTTAGAAAAAAAATATTAGCAACAGGATAAAAACAATGGGAGAGAAAAGGGACCGATTGTCTGACAGGCACAAGCCCGGCACCAGGGCATGGAAAAAAAATCACAGTCATCTTCAAGGATGCAGTGACACTTCTAATCAGCAGTTCTTCTTATAAAGGAAGGTGTTGCTGATTGCTCAGCACCTGTCAGGACTGAGCTGATGGGAACTCACACCCTGCATGTTATGCTGGGAGTGAGATTCATGGATTCATTTCCCCACCAAAAAGTAAGGTTAATGGATAGCTCTTGAAGTCTGGGCAGTAGTGTGCGTACGTATAGGAAGTTACGCGTCCCATCCCTGACTCCTTCCAGGCAGACCAGGCTGCTCTGCAAGGTCTTTACAGCCACGTGAGAGGCTCGGGCAGTGGTTACAGCATGTAGCTGTCTAGTACTTGCTGTCCTTCACGGTCCCGATGCTGCCTCCGTGCTGATACTCCAACCTACCACACGGTCTTGTTATACCCCCGGGGGAAGATACTGTTTGGCTCTGCTGCCTCTCGGGTTCTCAGGAAGGGCAAGGAGCATTTGCCTTTGATCTGTAATTGTTCTGCTACCACAAAGACACCCGTGGGATGCCGTGAAATACCAACGCAAGTTCTCTGGGGCAGATTTCCTGCTATGACAAATTTCTACAGAGTCCTGCCAAAATACTCACTGCTCACTTTGCTCCCATAGCCTATCGTTACGCACCCCTCCTCTTACTGAGCCGCCTAATAGCAACAATAGCGGCGGAGTCAAGGAGCTCTCCTTTGACCCTTAAATGGGGGACACATTGTCATAGGCAAGGGCGTCTCACCAGGAAAGCAGCCTTCACAATGGCAGGAAATATTTGCCAGACGAGAGAAAAGGGAGCTGGGCCAGGGGCTGGAGCGCTTGTGTGGTTTTTGGACACCTGGTCTTTGCTCCGCTTCACGCTTCCTGTGTGGCTTGGAGCAAGTTGTCTGAGCATCTGAATCCCTTTTGTACCTTCTCATAAGTTTCTAAAGGAGTTGAGGCATGCCAGTAGGAACTAGGAGCCTAGGTAACTTTGTGCATCTGCCCCTAAATTTCATTGCACCCCAGGCCCTTGTCTTTAGGGTGGGAACACCAACATTACCTGCCTCCCTCGTTTGTAGTGAGGGCTATCAAACGTAACAAGATTCTTTGAGGACTTAAGGGTACCTTAAATATAACTTCATATTAATAATAAATAAATATCTTACGGTGTGCAGTTGGCTCTCTTTGGCACTGTAAAAGCTCCACTGAATAAAGAAATTTCCCAGCGGTCCAGCATTCGTGTATGTACAGAGGAGGGTTGCGTTTCCACCTGTAGTGACATTCACTGTCTTCTCAGGGACGGTCACCACAACACCGCTGACGTGGCCTGTGGGCAGTAAATGTGGTGAGGAGAGATCAGCTGGGGCCGACCCTGGGAGCCGTGCGGGAGTGCCTTGCTCCCTGCGTTACTGAAGAAACCCATAGGACATGTCTGGTCATTCTCCTTTTCAGTACAGTTTCGCTTGGGCTTTGTGTGGAAATTTTAGTGATAACAAGCTGGGAGTGGGTAAAAGCTAACAAGCGAATAAATCCCCCAGAATACCTGTGCCCTTAAAACAAATAATATTCTGAAAAAGCAGAGTTCCTAAAAACGTACTTGTTCTCACTTGCAGAGACTTGTCTTCTCACTAAGAGCCTGTGGCTAAACCAAACCTTTCTCCTGCACTCGCAGTGCTCTCCTGCACCTTGCACTCTCATTTGCAGCTGTCTCTAGCCCTCTTTTACACCCTTCTTGCCCTCTTTTTTTGCAGTTATTCCTTTAGATGTCTGATCTTCTTTACCGTGGATCACCATCTCCTACAGTGTCGTCTCTTCTCACATTCTTACGTTCTGCCTCGGACTCAGTGGCACTGTCGGGTTCCCCCAGGCTGGGGAAAGCAGCCGTTCTCCGCTTTTCTTTCGCTAATTACTTTGCTTCTGTTTAGGTTTCTTAGGGCTTACCTGCAGAAGCCGTTTGTTTCCAATGCTTTTACATTGGAAACGGCGAACTAAGCTTTTTGGAACTGCTTTTATTATGCGGGTTGTGAGAAATTCTGTGATGACTTCATCAACCATTTCTGTTGTGCTCGAAGCAGAAAGGGAGCAAACATAACTTGTGAGCCCTTTCCCATAATGTTCTGATCAGGCTTGGCTACACAGCCATATTAATGAAAGGAATCGAGCACCATCTTACCATATTTATCTGTTTCTGTCCTCCATATAAGTTACTAGCAATGGTGACATATGGCAACAAAGCTAGAGCTGTCAGGAAAATAAGCCTGAATTTCAGGGTTTTGCTAGATCACTGAGTCCAGTTTTAAAGGTACTGTCTAAAGATTCTGAAGGAGAATAGATTTCTTTTGGATGTGATGGAAAACATAAGTCTTTCAGAGCTTTCTATGCAAAAGAGGCAAGGTGAGAACTTCATGTCATAATAATTTTCACGTGGGCTTATTGCACATATGAATGACAGAGGCAAAACATACAAAATATTCTTCTCAATGAAATATCTGTGCATCTTATGTTTGGGTGCTGCTTTTGAGAGGTTAAGCAGAACCTCCAATAATACCAAAAGAGTATTTTGCTCAAATTATCAGCCCTATGAGAGAAAACATTGTTTAAAAAAGAAATATAATCTATTTTGACATTTTTAACCATGTAAATATTGCAGAGTCGTCAGTTGCTACAATATGCAAACCTGTCTGAACCTAGAGTCTGAACTCTTCGGGGTCTGTTTTCCTTATTTGATGGCTTCGATAGTAAAAGCTCACTGCAAGGAAGAAGGGAATAATCTACTTTCCGTGTTGGTGGTGGCTAGGATGAGAACTAGCGGGTTTAAACTACAGCAAGACTTACATTATATGTGAAGACAGTCTCACAGGAATGGCTGGAGACTGACCTAAACGTGTTAAACCTGCCTTGGGGAAAGAGGGGTTGCAGTGCTGGCTGCAAGTCCCGCTTGTCCTGGGAGTTCACAGTAGCTTAATCCTTACTGAGATCTAATACAAAAGCCGTGTAATTTTATTTTAGATGTCTCAGTTCACTGTTCTCAGCTTTAAGAATTAGAGTTGGCCAGAGGATGATAGTTTCTTGCCGCAACAATACTTCCAGGTTTACATGTATTTATTTTCTGTTCTTCGCTGGATTAAAGCTATGGTCTTTCAACACAATGTCATTCTACTGAAAACATCCATTTTCCAGTCATCTGCTCCACATATTTCCTTTATCATTCTCTGTCTTTGGAGTCAGGAGTGCCACGGAGCCTCGCTGTTACAAGCTTTTCCAGAAGAAATTAATTTTAGCAGAAACAACTCCACAAAGCATTCTAGTTTCCACTCAGCTGTGTATTTTGAAGAAATACGTCTAGTTGAAATAGGCTGTGCTCGAGTGAAAATATACAGCCCAAACCTATCAAACGTCCATTGTCCACCGAGGCTGTTTAAAGCCATCGCTAATTGTAAGATGGAGCTTTTGACTGAAAATGGAGCGAACTGGACCTGCAGAGCCTGTTCCCTCATCACGGAAGTTAAGGGGAGTTTGGCTTTGCATTTAGTTCACTCTTTACGGTTTCAAACTCGTAATCCCATTTCGTATACACAGGCCTTTTGGTTTAAATGAAAAAAAGTGCACGGGTAAGAAGTAACTCAGTGAAAAAAGCTAGTGGGAACGGGACCATAACTTGTTAAAAATAGTTGTTCCATGTCTTCTACTCATCGATATTACGGTAAGACCGCTTCCTTGCTACAGAGAAAGTCATTGCAGTTGATTGGGAATCGCCCACTTTCACTGAAGCCCCGTGCCGTTTTTAACGCTCATGAAATAAATCCAAGTTTGCTGATCTTTTCCTAGCCACTGCAGAAACGCCAGTCAGTGGCACCCATCGGTATGGGCACACTGCTAGTATTAAATCCAGAACTTTAAAATTAGAGGACATTGTTTTGAAAAGTATTGGTACTAACATCGAATTACTTTTCATTTCTAAGGCAAAAATCTGTGGGGTTTATGTGTGTGTATGAGAGAGAACATTGAAACATCAGGAGCAACTATTTAAAATATTTCTCTGGCATCCAAACCAGGTAATTCCATCTTGAAAAGAAAATGTGGAAACTAACTTCCATTTTCTTTAGTGGATACAGAGGCTGTTCATCACCATGGAGCATTAGACTTAAAATGTCTGCTCCTGTATATATTAAAAATAAAGCTTAGCACAATGAAATGTCCTTGAAACATGAATAATATATTATGTTTAATATACCATATAAATCCTAGATTCCACAAAGTATTACGTCCTCACTTAACTTCAGGGAAATCCAAAGGATTATTTGCATGCTTAAAGTTAAGCATCCCCAAAAATTTTTCGGTGGGGGTGGAACCGAGGCAGCATTTCCCAGGGCTATTAACAAGGGGATACAAAAGCCGAATGTGAGAAAACTTAACCTTGAAACGCTTGAAAGACCCTAATGCTCTACGTGAGAGCTTTTTGCCTCTTCCTGGCTTTAGAGCAAAGCATTAATTTACCAAAGCTAAAATTCTGTTCTTGAGCAAAAAACTCTTACCAGTCAGTGGTCAGCTTGCTGATTTCCACAAAATGGCATAGCATTACAGCCATGATTTTCATTCCGTCCTGAAATAAATCTGGAATGTTCTCCTAGTTTGCCAGTCAGGTTCACCTGCTCTCTTATTTCAACAAGTTCCTTTATTCCAGTGCTATTTCAATCAGTTTGTTGTTCTTACCTGTAAGGATGGCTAGAATTGGAAGTATCTCCAGCATCGTTGCAAACATCTTCTTGACGTTAGGAAAGAAAAGAGACCGGATGCTGCCTCTGACTTCGACTAAAACTCAACTGTTTGGTTTTTTTTTAAGTGGGTTTTTGTTTTCCTTATCAGCTGTGTGTCAACACGTCAATAAGCTTTTTCATTCTCCTCCTTTATCACATGTGTGCCTTTCTCCGACTAGTGGTGTGACTGTTCAGTTGAAACCGTTTTGTGAGGTTTGAGCAACGGAGGGCTTTGTTAATAATAAACCTTCGAATCAGAGAAGCCCAGATTCTCCCGCTTTTGCCAGGGCCCAGCAGTATTTGCCCACATAAGTACTTCCACTGAATCCAAGAAAAGTATTTGTGGAGCTGTTTAACAGTCAATCTGATTACTAGTGTTGGAGTCAGGCCTAATATGAATAAGGAATAATCTTTATTTCCTGTTAGTTCTATAAATTCTTTTTAAAAATGGGCATGTGGGGATAATACATTGTTAGTACATCTTCATTTTAAAACATATTTCTCATACAGTTTTATACAGAAGGATTACATTGGACTCATGATTGCCTTGAAATTTCCATATTGAACTCATCAGTAAGATAACACACCAAAATAAAGATGAAATAAACGTTATCTTCTAAACTGATAATAAAATCTGTTTCATCTAGTTTTAATCCATGAAGTTGGATGCTACTAATACAAAATGACAAGGTAAATATATTGATTTTTATTTAAATGTTAATACCTGATTTATATAGTGAAAAAGCAGTGGATGAAGGTTGGGACTTGAAGGACTAATTACAGTAATTTACAGTAGATTACTTTGTCCTTACTGGATGCAAAACGCCTTCTCCAAGACTCTGCAGCTCATTAGGAACTGAAGGTGCTCAGCTTCTTGCAGGAGCCAGCTTGGCTTGCTTTATTCCATGTCATTTGATTGAGGCTAATTCAAAGCCTCAAGCTGCGACGGGAGTAGCTGGTTCTGCGTACACAGCCGTGTGCGAGTGAGTAGCTGACGACATAACAGAGGGCAGCATTGCCTTTTAGATGTGTGCCTGTACCTAGGACCAAGACGATTAAAATGGTCAGTGACTTTTTTTTCCGTGCTTGTTGAAAACATGGGTCTAGTTCATGCCTGAGGATCCCGTCTTTGTAGTGGCAGGCAAGGGTGGCCACCCTTTCCATGGCAGGGGCCATGCTGCAGCTGGGGAAGCCCTTTTGGCAGGTGGGGCTCAGCATCTGGCCATGTGTGGTTGGAGGGGGGAGGTATGCCCAGGCTCTCCCTCATCTCTAATGTGATGTGGTGGTAGATTCTTCAGCGTAGAAGTGGTGAGTTACTGGTTGCGTCAGTTACTATTGGGATCAGGTTCATGGACTTAGGTGAATTTTATTCTGCCAGATATTTCTGTGCATGGCAGATGCCTGAATAATCTCTGGGCAGATGTCAGGGTTTGATTATATTCTGATATGCACCATCTCCAAAAGTTTTATAAAAGATGTCTTTTCCTTAGTTCTGACTGTCAGCACTTCACGCAGCATTCCCACGGGGTGGGCAGTGCTTGCCTTTTAGTGATGGGGAGGACAAGACTTGGAACAGCTAAATGTCTCATCCAAGGATGCACGGGTGACCCAGAGTCCTAAAAGGAATATGGACTTTGAAAGACTGAAATTCAAATTCAGGTTTCTTCCAAAACGTGCAAAGCATTTAGATTCACCTTCGCTAAAGGAGCATGGAGGGATCCCAGATGCACGTGGGAAGTTCTCACTGGCTTTCCCCAGGTCAGCCTAAAATGGGAGCTGCTGCTGTTTTCCAGTCATTTAGCTACGGATGAGCACGAACGATCTGAACATGAGCGCAATCTACAGACCCATTTCAGTGATCGCCTGTGGCAGCTGCATAATACCCAGAAGGAGTCTGACTGGTAGCTCACAGAGCATTGGTCCTTTGCAAAAGACAGCAATTTTCAAGAAGATGCAAAAAAAAGTTGCCACCCCACACTGCAGGTCAGCACGCGCCTGCATAGTCCTGTGTCTTTACCACAATATCAGCGTGTCCTCTAATTCCCTCTCATTTATCAACACCGAAGTCCTTTCTCTGTCACTTAAGGCACCCTCAGTTAATATATATTTTCTCCCTGCTATATTCACTTTTTGTGAATTAAGTCTCTGAAAGATGACAGAACTACATTCCTGGAGGGTGAAACGCTCGGTTTGACCGGAGAACAGGAGCCAATAACACAACTTCTGCAGTAATATGCGCCCATTTAAGCTTGGGACGCAGGGCTCAGATTACCAATTACGGAGCAAGTATATCTCGTAGCAAATGATTACAACTGTCAATCCTGTTTTACAGAGGATACTGAACACCAGTAGCATTAACTTTTGACTATTACCAGCCTGGAGCTCATTTCACACTGTCAAACCAGAAACGTGTACCCTAACGCTAATCTTCCAAGCCACCCAGGGTTATTCTCCTGTGAAGGTAATAGATGGTACACGTCAGCTGCTGGTTTTGCTTCTAGCTCATTGCTATTAGAGAGCAGCACTGCCTGTTCAAATGTCACCTTAGTAAAAGAACAGAACACAGAAAGCAAAATCTGGTTTGGTTTGATGATGGTTAAGGTTAAATTACAGCGGGACAACGAAGAAGCTCTCGCTCACACCGCCGACGTGTGAGAGGAGAGAACAGCCCAGAGTGCAGCAACGGCAGCAGTTGCTTTGCCATGGGTGGAGCAAAGACTCTTATCTCGAGATAAAATGGAAGGGGCCAGTACCAGGAACTGTATGTTAAGAGCCTTTGTGACTCAAATGTGTGTACACTGAAACATATTCAGAAATGTTCCCTTCCAAGCAACTCCCTTGTATAAATAGAACTCCCCTCTATAAATAGAAGTGTCAGTCACTAAAAAAATGAAGCCCAGAGGCACACCCAGCCAAGCACTGCCATGATACTGTCGGCCTGAAACCTAATTAAAAAACTTCCTGTAGAATTCCATGTTTAATTTGACAAAGCTCAGCAGCACTTCAACCGCTTTGTCTTCCTTAAATATGCTAAATATGTGATTGTTCAAAGACACCAAACCCAGCATAATGTGATTTACAAAGCTCTCTAGTTCAGTATCACATCTGATTGCTGGGGATGAAGAGTGTAATTAAAGATTCAAACAAGTACAGCAAAAGAGCTGCTTTAAGCCTCTAAATCCATCATTAGGTTGACTTCCAAATGCACTTTGCAGTTTGCTTGCTTATTGCACAGCCTCATTTGTTGTCTAAAAAATATTTATAACCTTTTGCTGGAGTGTTTGCTGCCTAAAAGTTAATTCATGGACTTACTGTTCTTTTCAAGCTCACAGAGAGTGAAAGTCTGCAAAGGTACCAATAATATAAGCTCTTCTGAGGAGAGCACCATGGCTTGTCACCTCCAAATAACTTGATCAGAAATATACTTAATCCTCTGTACCCACTTCCCAGAAAAGGCACAGCTTATTATCAAAAAGCACAATACCATTTCCTTAGAAAGGTGCTGGACCGGTCCTTTTTATATCGTCCCTTTTCTCACTCCAGAAAGAAATACTTTTTGCCTTTTAACCATTCAAAAGGCAGGGTCCCCTAGAGCAAATGCTTTATCAAACAAGCTTTCCTCTTTTGGGGCCGGGGGGGGAAGGCGCTGAAATGAGATACACCAGATCAGTGATTGCCAGGGGATGAGAGGGCTGCATGACCAGGCACCAGCACTTCGGGCTGGGTTTGGTGGGCTTGTACCTGGGCTTTCTGATTTCCTTCATACGGTTCTCTGCTAGCCAGCGTCTCGAAGTTTCCTGGGCATGGCAGAGCAGCATGGACTCACATGTCACATCTGGCTGTACTGCCTTCGCAGGTCCGTGTCCTGAGGATGGCATAAAAGCTGTTGGGTCAGTGTTGTGGGTGTATCCTGAGTGGTTCTGGCAGCCCTAAGCATGCCTCCTTTCTATCCTCCTTGCCAGTTAGCAACTTTATCCCCAGAGATAAACTTTGCCTTATTGTAAGTGGTGTGTATCGCATTATGCTGAATTCAAGCTAGATCTCCCACTCTCCGCGTCGTTGGAGCAGCTCCTATTTTGACAAGTGATCTGTCAAGGCACATGCTGGCAATAGGTTAGTCTCTGCTGAAGTCGGTAGCCTGGAGTGCAGCTAGGGGTGCTCATCAGTGCCTGAGGTTTTCAGTTTTTCCCTTAAACTTACTGAAATCCAGTGGAAACGTATAGAGAAAGCCATTCAAGCATCCAGCATCATCTTTATCAGAGTAAGTGTGTTCTGGCCCTGTCCTAGCTGGGGAGAGTCAGTCTGTCCTTGATGTGCCCCTGGCAGTTCCGGGTGGACGTAAGCACTTTTCACTGCCTGTCAGGGACAGGTATGTTGTTGGGTGCAGACAGGCATCACCCCAAAGCTGGCTGCGCTCTGCATCCTCACCAGCCTGCTAAGGAGTAACACCTGGGGAGCACTTCGACTATGTATGAAGTTTTGTTTTATATATGAGCTCTAGTAAGCCCAGGTTTACCAGCACTGCTTTCCCAGTCGGTGGCTGTGACGTGACCCTAGACTGCTCTGTAATTTGAAGGTACCCTGACTCCCTTCCCGCATCCTTCCCACCACAACCTCCTGCTTCCCGTTTCCCTGTTTCGGTACTGCCCCCACTGGCGTTTCCAGCACAACCCCGTGATTTCTCTCCCGCTCCTCAGAGAAGCTGTGGGCTATGCAAGTCAGCTGGAGGCTGGAAGATTTCATGGGAGAGGAAGGAGACTGAACTCCTTCCCCAGCACAATGTCCTGTGGACCCATCCCAGTCATGTAACTCACCCCCGACACCAAGGCTGCCTTCACCACTGTAATTCCTTCGCTGATACTGCGCACGATGGCTCATTTTCCTTATGGCAGGGGTTACCATAAAATTACACACAACTGTCCAGAGAAGGCTGCCTTCACACCACCACTTGCTGGCCTCAGCTGTCTGTGGAGAAACACGTGTAAAGAGCCCTTTGTGGAGACATAGTCTGAAAGTTTTCAGGAAAAATCAGATGCAACCTACCCTTCCA